CTTCTCACGCTCGTGTCTAGATGGCTTCAGAGGTGTCAAGCTGACGTGTTCGTACACATGGCGCTTCCGCTCGCTACCGCAACCCTATCAAAATAAATGGAGGTACGGTAAAAACACCCAGAAATCGTATTTTTGAACAGCTTTTCGCTGCGCTTTGCACGGCTTTTGAGCAGCGCTCTCGTTTGCCATCTGACATTTGCTGGCACGGTTTTTCCTGGCATGGGAGCCCCGAACGTAATGCCAAGGTATGAAAGGCAAATCAGTGCCGAGCAGCACAAGGATGGTGACAGGCGAACCGCCCCGCTAGAAATAACATCAGTGACGGTGTTTAAAGACAGGAGTTCTCCAAATGTGGCTTTCAGCCAACCTGTCGTGGACAAGGAAGGTTTATGGGGTCTGGACCAGCCGAGGGAATACCACTGGGATCAGGGTGGAGGCGAGTGCCGCCCCTAATTACAACACCACCAAAGTGGGTTTTAGAGGGAAAGAGATTTTTTAGAGCAAATGATTTATTTAGGAAATAAATAAATAAATAAATAAGACAAGCTCTTTGGTTCACAAGCTCTTCCGTACGCATGAAATGGAAGGAACACGTTTCAAGCTTTCGTTCCTATTTAATTAATTCCAATTAGCGGCTGGCTAGACCAGGCGCAAATATTCCTTCCCTTTGCAAATAACAAATATTGCGAGGGGACCTATTTAGTCGGGGGTAAGCAGGCGTTGCCTAGTCTTGGTTAGACGCTCTTAAAATGTCTCTATAAACCCGGGGAAGAGTGAGGGCTTCATTTTCCTGCTAATGTTATGTTTTCAGCCCAGGCGAGATAAGAAGAACCCTTTTTTTTTCTTCTTGCCCAAACTACTCATGCAACAAAACTCTTATCTTAAAAAGACATTGACAGGAACAGTTAACGCACTGTATAATTAAAGCAATAAATTAATTACCAGGCTTCCCTGGTGACTGTTAAGCACTTGAGGCAAAAGAGCTGCCTTTTGCTCCTTCTTGCAGGATTATTGCGGTTTGGTTCGAACGTTAGCTTCAGCATCTAAGTGAGGGCACTTTCCCTTCCCACCTGTAGGCACGTGGGCTGCTGGAGGAGTGTTACCAACAGGTATGCAACCCGCTGGCCGTGACGTCCTGCAACACACCCTGAATTTTGGGGTGATTTGGGGCGATCTCGGGCCAGCCTCGCTCACAGCTCCCTCCTTGGGGCGCAGCCTGGGTGCTCAATACCTCTGCGAGGACACAAGGACAGCATAAAAGGACACACGGACAGCATGAAGGGACACGTGGACAGTGTGCTGGGACATTTATTGAGTTTGCCATCACGTCGAGATGGCTCGAACACACCTTGGCTGCGTGCTTCCCGGCAGGCAGCAGACAGATGACTCACGGCTCTCGTTGAGCCGCTGGGCCTGGCAGAGCCAGGACATAATCTGCCCTTCTTATCTAGAAATCCCAGCGTTAAAGCTTTGTTTGAGTAACGCCTTGCCGTGTTTGTCTGTGGAGAGTGGCTCAAAAGCCGTCAATAAAAGGCTGGTTTTGTAGGGTGAGCTTGGCTTGAAGGAACTTCGGGTCTTTATTAAAATTTCTAAATCCTCATCTTTCATCTTCCTCAGCTTTGGCATGAAGGCTGGCTTCGGGTAAGGGATTTGGGGTGCAGGTGGTGCGGGAGCTGCGAGCAGCCGAGGGCAAGGCAAGCTATGGGGCCGAGCATCAGTGGGGGCAGCACGGGGACCGGAAAAACCTGAGTGGGATCGGACGGGTTTCCAGCGAGGAATGCACTTTGCCTCGCTAATCAGCGATCCTCCCACCAGGGAAATTGCTGACTGAATGCTCACCGTGTCTGCTGGCAAACCTGCGGTTACACCCACGGGGTTCATGGGCAGGAGCGGCCGGAGCTGGGACAAGGAGAGGATGGCATTTCCGTGGGCAGCTCAAGAGCCAGCTCCACAAAACGGCATTTCTGCATGGGATTTGGGTATTTGGTGCTCCTTTCTGGCTCTTTCCTGTCCGAAAGCTCCTGAAAATGCAGAAGCGAAGCACAGAATGAAAGAGCCATCGTGCTTCCAGAGTATGAGTGATGCAGCTGCATTACTGCTTATGTTTTCAATAAAGAAATAAAAATAAGTAATCCTCCTTCAGAGATATATATAAAGTTTCTTTCCATATTATTCAACAGGCTTTGCTCCAGACCTCAAAATTTGCAAATGATCTTAATGCTTTACTCAGCAAAGCCCACAATGGAAGTCTGGTGGGAAAACCCATAGTGACATAATAATTTTCTCCGTTCTCTTGTGAACGAGTTTGTGGATATAACTGTGCTTTTGTGGAGGTGAAACGGAGATATTTGAATAATGACAGTACGAGGGTGAGTAACTGAACAAGCTCCAGGGGCTGGGAGACCTTCCCGTCACAGGCTCAGCTCCCTGCACACCCCACACGAACCTGTGGCTGAATCAAAACAGGATGCGGCGGGGAGGAATGATGAATCCTAGGGCAAGTCCGAATCGCTAACCTAAATTCCCGTGGCTCATCGGCCTCCCCTGCCATGTGGGTGCTACACGTGAAGCTTACACAAGGCTGCGTGGAGCCCTGCAGCGTGCTGATAGCTGGGCTGGCAGCTCCTGTAGTACCCCGTAAGTCACCTCGAAACGTCTCCCCGTTAATAGAGGTCTTCAGGCATCACCCCGTGTCAACGCTAGCAAATGATTTAGCAAATCTTACACCCTCAGAGACTTCCTGGGGGAAAGCACAGCGGTGTTTGCAAACTATTTGAGACGCAGCCTCAAGGCCACACCAAGCTGCATTTTGCCTCCCCTGCCGTAAGCAGTGAGGGGAGATGAAATCACCTGGACTCTGCCGTCCTGGGCTGCTAAACGCAGCTGGAGCCAGCTCCAAGGCTCACAGGGGACTAAAGATTAACCAGTGGGTGGGTAGGAGACGAAAAACCTCCGCTTGTGTCCCCGTTTTAGAGATTTGAGTTTCCAGAGCTGAGGAAGGAGCAGTCCTGGGGGATGTGCTGGGTGCTAACTGGGCTCGGGGTGGTTTTGGGGTGTGCTCAGCCTCTCACCTTGCTGGGGAGAGGAGACTTTGGAGCTGGGCGCTGCCTCACCACTGTTTGCTCTCCAAACGGGGCTGGGACCAGCCCAACTTTGTCCCACACCTCACACCCGAAGGCGAGAAAGGAGCAGCACGTCCCAGGCAGAAGAAAAGAGTAATGCTTTATTATTCTTATTATTTCTGATTATAATTAATAAGACAACCCCCTTGGCCTCCCAGAGAACAGACAGCTCGTTGGGGCCAGCAGCTCCTGGCCCTCAGCCTGGGACAACGCTGGGGTCCCAACAGTGCAGGGGGACACCATGGGGGGACACCATGAGGGGACAGCACCGTGTGAGGACACCATGAGGGGATACCATGAGGGGACAGCACCATGTGGGGACAGCATGGGGGGACACCATGAGGAGACAACAGCGTGTGGAGACACCATGAGGGGACAGCACCGTGTGGGGACACCATGGGGGGACACCATGAGGGGACAGCACTGTGTGGGGACACCATGAGGGGACACCATGACGGGACAGCACCGTGTGGGGACACTATGGTGGTGGGTGGGTGCCCAGCAGCTGCGCCACACAGCCTCAGCTTCAAAACGCTGCTGGGACGAGAAAACTGGGTGCAAAACGGTGGATTTTGGGGTTATGGGCGCGGAGGGCTTGCTGTGGGGCAGACCTGCTGACAGGGCTGCTGTGTTTGTAGCACTTTTATGACACGTTTTTCTCCCTCCGTTCCCATTTTACCCTCTACCCCTGCAGCTCCAGAGGGGGAACTTTCTAGGGGGAGGGCTGTGAGGGCTGTGGGGCTGGAGGCTCCGACCCAAACCGGGCCGGGCTGAGGCGGGGCCGGGCGGGGCTCGGGGCCGTGCTCGCGGCTCCCCGGCGGCCGGGGCCGAGCCATGTCCGCAGGTGAGGCTGAGGGAATGGGGGGAGAAGGGTTTGGGGGGGGGTAGGAGGCTGAGGAAGAGGAGGAGGAGGAAGAGGAGGAGAAGGAGGAAGAGTGGGGGACCCGCTGGGTGGGTGCTGGGGGCACCGCAGCCTGCCCGAGCCCTGGGGGGGGAGCACCCAAAGGTGCTTTTGTTTCGTGTTTCGGTGTATTTTCTAGCAAGGGGTTGTTAAACAGCGCTGAGAGCAGCCACAGCAAGCAGCTCCTGCAGGCACAGGCATGAAAAGGGGGAGGAATGGTGGCTAAATCCCTGTTCTCTGGGACGAGCGCCGTGGTTGTTTACCTGGCAGCTCCTGGGGAGCATGGGCGGGGAGAGACCGGGTGTTGGGGTACAGGGCTCTGCCGGAGGCTGGCACGGGGTTTTGTAACCCGAATATCCCCAACTAGTTGCAATGAAATGTGTTAATTCTGATTAGAAGGGCTCCAGCCCTGCCTTCGTTTTGTTGTTGGTCCCGTTGCCCCACCTGGAAAGGCGCTCGGGGCAAACACCCAGATTTGGGGTTTATGGCAAAGACCTGCCCCAAATCCCCGACAAACCAGGACTGTGCTGGGGACCTTCAGGCCACCTTGTGGGGCTTTGCCCACTCTTTATTTCTCCTAGCTCCGCTTCTTCAGGGCTAAAAGGCATTTCCACCCCACTCGCCCCCAGGGGACGGGACCTGGAGGCTTCAGGCTGAACCCCCCAGGCTGGAGGGAGACTGGTGTGGGGTGCCCCTGTGTGGGGTGAGCTGGTAGCCAGGAGGAAAATAGCAGCCCCAGAGCGAGAAATGACTTTGTGCCAGCAGGGAACCATCCTCTGGAGCTATGGAAACCTCTTCCGTGTGCTCGCTTGAGGTCAAAGCCCTGAGGGTTGCGTCTGGATCTCCAGCTCCTCCTTGCCAGTCCCATGAAAATTACAGGCAGAAAGGGAGCTCTTTGTTTAACATCTTATTTTTTTTTTATGCTTATTTATGGCTGATTTATGATTTAGGTTTCTGTATTGTCCGGCTGTGACACAGGTTAACAGAAGAAGGGGAAGGTCTGCAGCGGGGCGGTTGTGCAAACAGCTCCTTGTGGGAACGCGATTCCTCCGCCACCGCAGCAATAAATATTTCGAGTTGCCTAATTATATTTTACTAGAAAACGGGTTAATTAAGAAATGGGCTAGCCTGAGTGAGCTTCCTGGTAGCGCTGCAACACTCTGTGCTGGGATGACTCAATGAACACAAGGGTTTGCCTGCAGCAAACCGTGCGGGGATGGCTCTCAGTGACTTAACCCGCAGGAGCTAAGACCTTGAACTCCAGTGTCTTTAAATAAATGCATTTTTCAGTGAACTTTTATTGTAAATGATCTGCAAGGTTTGTAAAACTCAACCACTTTTTGTTTTGAGCCTGTCCACCACCACGCTGAGTGGTTTGATTAATCTCCTGTGCGAGCTTTAATTAGTTCCAGATGCTTCAAAGGGGCTCGTTTAAAAATCAGCTTGCCTGATGGGCACCTGTAAGCTTGCTGGGACAGGCTGGAAACAGGGAGCTGGAGCAATTCAGGCTCCTTTCAGAGGAAAGCAGCTGACACTGGATGTCACCATTGTACAAGAGAAGCAGAACCGAGGTGGCTGGGACCTTCCTCTCGGTGCGTGACACGGGAAGAAGAAGCTTTATCTGCTGTCTCCCATCCGTTCCCGTAGGTAGTTTTGCTCCCACCCCTCTCCTGAGAGTTACGATGTTGTTCCTGCTTTGTGCTGCTCCTCGCATCTGAGCAGGACAGGTTATCAGTCCCCGGGACTTGCTCTAATTGGCGGTGGGACCGCTCTGCTGGCTGTAATTGCTTTTGGTGGATAAACTTCTCAGACGAGTGGCAAAAGTTTTGTTTTGCCCCGTGTCAAATTGCAGGTGTGTGCGAGGCATTGGCACGTTTTCTGCCCGGAGTCTCCGGCCAAGAGTTTTCTGAAATGATGTAGGATTGAGGTTTAGGTTGCTAGCGAGAAGTCGGTGAGATCCTCAATGAGAATAATGTGTGAATTCATTTATTTTCCCATCTATAAAAAGAAAAAAGAAAAGGAAGTGCTTACATCTTATTTTTATGTGGTTCTCAGTCTTTGCTTCTTTAAGCTTGCAACGCCTCCAGCACGCCCCTGAAGCCGAAATGGAATTAAATGGGGTGGAGAAATGGCCTCGCTGCATTAAATTAAGGAGCCAAGCCCCTCTTCTTGCCCCTCTACAGGTCAGAGGAACGCACGCATCGTGACCACCACCCTGCTGCTCACTGAAGAAGTGATGCGGGAAGACCGGGGCTCGGAGGGGAGCTACGTCCTGTACGGCTCCTCCTGCGCCGAGCTCACCGAAGAAGCTGAGTATGTGAAAAAGGTATTTGTGAAGCGTTGTTTTGTTGTTTTGTTCCCTCCTTTGCTTGGCAGCACGGTGAGCAATCGTGATAGCTGCCGAAAGAGAAGATCCCGACCACGCATGGCTGTTTACTAGAAATATGATTTTCTCCGCAGCGCTGCTTTAATTACAGCATGCACTGTCTGGGGTCAACCACTCTGAAACCGAGGGTTTTCCACCCCTCATTTAGGGTTGTTGCAAGAGGTGTTGATGTGCTGTCCCCACCCAAATTCAGGGCTCTTGCGAGGCAGAGCTGGGGACGCTTTGCGATAAGGAGGTGTTTAGGATGGGTGCCTTGTGCTTCACAGGCGACAGCAGCAGAACAAGGTGGGAGCTGATGAAAATAAAAGGATAAAAGGATGAAAATAAAAGGATAAAAGGATCCAGCCTCACTGCAAAAAAGGATATATTCTGTGGTGGTGACATTAACTCACAAAGGGTGTGTGAAGGGGTGGGCCAAAAGTCTGCTCATTAAGAAATAATTGATCACAACAAGTTCTTTAAAACGCTTATCCCTTTTTCTGCTCAGGTGAGGAAGGAGGTGGGAAGAAAAGAGGCGAACAGAAAGTGATTTATGGTGTTTGAGCTCTTTGAAATGCCCAGGCAGCCCTTTGTTTTTCAGGGGTTTATTTTTAACAAACGAACTGGGAGGAAAGGAAGAAAGGCCGTGCAAAATGCCAGCGAGTTCTGGCAGAAATCTGAGCGGCTGCGGGTCGTGTTTCCTGCACAAACCGGGTCTCAGAGCGGAGAGGTGGACAGCAGTTGCTAACGTGTGTGTAATGCAGCCTCACCTGCCCTAGGCGAGCATCTAAAAGCGAATTATTCTTGCAGAGTAACAATGGGGGGAGCAGAAGGCAGCTGTTTATTAGGACTGATGTGCTGAGGCTTTAAAATATGAAGCCCTGGGGAGCTGCACTGCTCTGCTGGCCCTTGAGTAGAGCTGGCTGCTCTGCAACGCCGGGAAAAGGAAAGGGGTGATGACAAGAAATCCGGCCTGTTTTAGGGGCTCAGTCATCTGTTTTTCTGATCCCTTAACCCTTCTTTCCCTGTTTGTTCCCTTTTAGCAGCACCCTCCGGTGCCGGGCAGGAGCGCAGAGCCCAGGAGCAGCGGCTGGAGCTCGAGCTGCAGCCCCGTGGCGGCGAAGATGAGGGAAACGGAGCAGCAGCTGCTGCTGGTCAGCAGGGAGAACCAGCTGCTGCGGATCAAGGTACGTGCTGGGGGCTTCCCAAGGTTTCACCTGTGCCTCGTGGCACGGGGGACAACAGTTTTTGGGGGGAAGAGGCAGAGCTGCCTCGCTTCTCTAGCTGGTGTGAGCTGCTCTGTTCTAGCAGACGATGAAATTCATATTAAACCTGCTTTTTGACAAGGGAGAATAGTGAAAATTGATTATATCTTATATAATTATTGTGAAATTTCCCCTTTCTAGCTGGAAGCCACGAGAGAAGCGGGCGTGCAGGCTCTCCGGGCTGCCTCCCAAAAACTCTACGAGAGCTACCAGGCTCGCTCCGAAGAACTTCACAAAACTCAGGAGAAGGAGAAGCAGCAAATACAGGTACAGATCTCCCTGGGAGGGGGCACGACGGTCCTGCTCAGACACCGAGCTGGTCCAGGAAGGTATTCTGAGCCCCCAGAATCTCAGCGGGGTCCTGTGCCCTCCTCATTTTCAGGCCCGCAGTCGGGAGCAGGAGGGAAAGCTGCAGCAGCAGGAGGAGAAGGCCACGCAGCTCGCCGGCGCCGTGGAGGAGAGGTGCGCCCGCATCGCGGCCATGGAGCAGCGCGTGCGCAGGATGGAGGAGGTGGGAGGCAAAACCACGAGGTTTGGCAAGTGGTGGAAAAAGTATTTTTGAAGGATTTGTGGCCTTCTGGTAACACAACATCCTGTAAATAGAGTCGGATGTAGCACTTCTGTGGTACCCTCTGGTGGCTGAGCATGGCCACTCAGAAGACCTGAGGTTTTTGCTGACTAAATAAAGGCAAAAACTGTTGTTTTAAGAGTGAATTTTCTCATGGTAAGGCAGTACGCTGCCATCCCTTTCTGGGTTGGTTTAAAGAGGTCAGATTTCTGTACCTACACCTGGAGTTGAGGTTGCTGTAGGTGGCTCTCGCTGAATTTTTGGGGGCTGGCTAGCGGTCGGACCTAAAGCTGAATGTCTCTTGATAAAGAAACAACAGGCTGTGTAATACCGTTCTCATAAAACTGTTTTTATTTCCTTAGGAGAAGAAAACTCTGATGGAAAAGAAAACGTCCTATGAAAAGATGCTTCTGCAGATGATGTCGAGGAACGAAGACAGCAAACGGTGACTAAACGCACGGGGTGCAGCGCTCCCCTTGTTTCTGGGGGTGACTTTTGGAGGGTATCGCTCCCTACCCACCCCGTGGGGCTCCCAGAGCCTCTGCAGCCCCCCCTTACTCTTTTTTTTTATATATCAGATAATGTTTTATTGCTTATGAACTCATTTGCAAATTCAGCCTGTGGAGTTATCGATGAGTTTAGCGATCAACAGGGGTTTGGGTTGGTGGAGGGGGCCTGCCACACGCAGTCTGGCTTATTTGTGGGCTTTATTTTATGGGTTTATTTGCTCTGCTCAGTTATAAACTTGTGCTCCCCTCCTTGCTCCTGTCCCCAGGTGCCTGGCGGTGCAGCAGGACATCGCCACGCTGCGGGAGCAGATCGGCCACCTGCAGCGCCTGATCGGGGCGCAGCACCAGAGCCTGCGCCGCGTCATCCAGGAGGTAAGGCCCAGGATGGGGGATGCAGAGGCCTCCATCGCCCCCAAAATGGGGTTATTGTGGTGGATGAGGCAAGCTCGGGGTGTAAACACGCTGTCACGAACAGTCCTCACCAGCACGAGGCAAAACAAGGAAAATGCAACACGGAAATTGTCTTCTAAGTTGGGCAATCAATTAGCTTCAGTTTTAATTTGGTGAAAGAAGTGCCTGCAAGTCCCCTGGTGGGGCAGGACGCTTAATGCTGTGGTTTTGCTCGTTTTTTGTGTTTCGGATCTCTTACAGCCTTCCTTTCTTAACTCCTAGGCGGAGGAATTGAATGAAGAACTCAAAATCCAGGACAAGAAAATAGAAGACCTGACTGAAAAGGTGACGGCGCTTGAGACTCAGGTAAGGCCAGGAGGGAGGAAGGGGCATTAAGCTGAGAGATCAGCAGTGGCCCCGTGAAATCCTCGTGTTTCTCAGGTGGGGAAACATCAGGAGAGAGGGCAGCAAAAAGCAGGGATGGCCCTGGAGGCTGCTGAGCTGGGGGCAGCGCCTGGCTGTGATTTATTTGCATTACAACTTATTTTTTTTTTCCCCCTGCAGAATAAAGAACTGAAAGACAAAGTGGCGCTCTGGTCCAGCCAGCCCAAGACAAAAGTTTCAAAAGCCGTCCTGACAGAGTGAGTGCCTCTGCCCGGGGAGGTTTGGGAGAGCTGAGCCAGGCCTTGGGGGAAGGAATCAGATCGCAGCCTTTTTTAGAAAAAGAGGTGTGGGAAGGTTTCTGAGCGATCCCTGCTTTTCTCTGCTTCACTCCGCAGCCCCCTGCGGGACTACAGAGCATCCCCTTACCTGCTGCTGACCAGGATGAAGAAGCAGGACTGCTAAATGAACTTGATGAAACGAGGGCGTGCTTCTCCTGCCTTTGGCAGAAGGACTTCTTGTGTTGCAACACGTCTTCGACACTTGCTTTTTCTGAGACGGGGTGCAGAAGAGGTGCTGCGGAGCTGCTTTTGGGAGAATAAACCTGGAAACAAGGCACGAGGTGAAGAGAGAGCCCAGGGGCATCAGTTCCATACCCACCAGGAGGAGGAGCTGTTCCAGTAAGCCATATGGGGCCGTCCCCGTGGGATTCAGCACCGTCCTCAGACAAGGATTTGAGCAGATTCCTCTCAGTGTTCAACCAGCTTCTGTCCTTCCCGAACTCTTTCCACGGTGAGTTTTGTGCTCCAGTCGGTGCGAGGACGAAGCTCCACGTTTAGCCTCTCCTTCCCTTCACCTGAAATCCTGTTTGCATGGGATTGGACTTATTTCCTGGATGGTTTCTGGCATTTACGTCCTCATTTTGATGCAAAATCTTGAAAGGGTGATGAACAGCTCCTGCTGCCTGCGCTGCTGCTTACCTCTGACTGTCCCGGTGCAGGTAACATCTCATCCGTCCAGCCCCGTGCCCAGGACAGGCTGGTCCCTCTGCTGTCACACCAAAGTGTTCTGGGCACCGTTTGTCCCTCATTTTGAGATGTCACCTCGTGGTTTGAATCGTATCCCCCACGAGAGTGACACTATTTGCACGTGCACCTTCACCTCTGAAGGGAAAGGAAAGCCAAAGCCTTGTATAAAGTCTGTCTTCTCACCTGTGTCACAGATGACAGTATTTTGGGAAAAATTGATCCTTAAATAAGACTTGAATGTACCAAATTTGTCTGTTCCTTTTCTTAGCTCGCTTCAGAAGGTGGGTTTATCCTTTCAGGAGCAACTGAGCTCAACTGCAGGTCAGGATTAAAAAAAAACACAACCCTTTTCCCCCCCCAAAGAGCTGAGCCAGCCACTTAAAAATGTACTTTTATTGTGAAAATAACAGTGCAGAAACCGGATCACGGGCGTACATTCCTCAGCTGTGTTACACAGACCCACGCACCGGGGGCTCATCCGCCAGCACGGGTTGAAGCCCCAGGTGCTTTGGTACAAAAAAAAAGTGACAAGAAATTTGTTAAGCAAGCGCCGTGGTCCCAGCGAGGGGCATCTATGCTAAAAACACCGTTTGTGTTCGAGCTATAGTGTCAACCACACTGATGTCACTAGGCGTCACAGGGATCTGCTGGAGACGAACGTAAAACATGCTTACCAGAGCACAAGAGAAGAAAACACCTGGGGAGGAACTGCTACAGGCTCCGTAGTGTTCGTATCTGGACGAGGAAAGGTGCCTCGACGAAGCCAAAGAACAATTCAACGTCCAGAAGTAGGTTGGTAAGACACAAGAGGCTTTTTTTTTTTTGTAATATACACTTTGTCCATTAAAGCCCTATTGCACAATGACTTTAGAAAATAAACCCTAAAGTTATGTTTTCACTAGGTAACTGGAAAAGCACAAAGCCAAGAATCATCTCCTCTGTTGCCTTTAACCGGTTTAGACAGAAATAAGAAATTAGAAACAGCTCTGCCCAGCATCTAAGAGCATAATTCTAAGCCAGGTAGCAGCCTCTGGGGGGAAAAAAAAACACAAAAACAAGACAATTCATCCAATATAAGGGGTGCACTTCTGGTTTTCTTTGGGGGGGGAGAGGTGTCAGAGTGTTTTGTGTTTAAAGTAAAAGAATTACGCAAGACAGAAAAGCTGTGAAAATTTGGCTCTCTTTAAAGTAGTCTCAAGCCAGATCTCACAGCAGTCAGGTAAAAAAAAAAACAAAAACTACTTATTTTAACATTTTCACATCAGTTACAAGACGTTGATTTTTTTTTCCCCCTTCCTTTTCTTTGTGCAATACCAGAGCGTGGTCTGAAACGCCCACAGCATTCGCACATGCGTAAAAATAGCAGTCACTTGAGGTTATTTTTTTACACCTCCTACTTTTCTAGGGTTATAGTGACGGGAACACAGATTTAAAAATAACAGCTCAATTTTTTTTTTTCATTTTGTTTTACGTTTAGGCTGAAAAAAGCCTGGTTACATCCAGGCCTTGAAATAGATCTAGGAGATAAAAACCTCTTACCTTGAAATAGGCCCAAGGAGTTGCTAGGGAGTAGGTACCAAAAATCACATCAGGTACAACTTTTAATAAAGTTTCCTACAGGATCCAATCCTCTAAAATGTAAATGGATGTGTGACAACCCTTTGCACAGTCAGAAAAAGGAATGCTTAGCCTTCAGAAAACAGTTTAAGGCAATTATTTTTTTTATAAAGTTACCAAGCCAGCTGCTGCTCAGCTCCATCCTTCGCTACATCACAGCCTCCTGAAGCCACTTGCAGCTCCAGGAGCAGCAGCAAATTCCCCATCCGTCCCTTCTGCTTTTAAAAAGAGCATCTTTCAAGCACCCAACACTATTTTAGCTACCTTTCCTCTTGCAAACATCCCAAGAAAGTCACTGAAAGCAAAGGCAATAGAGAGGATGAGTTATTTAAGCCCCCCCTGCTGGTTTCCCACGCCGGACCTCCTCTCCCAGCCTCACGTGGGATGCCTGCCAGGCTCGCAAACGTGCTCAAAAGCAAATCCTCCCAATTCAAACACCTACAAGGAAGTTCTGCGACAGCAGGATTCGAATTCAAGATCTGCTGGGGTGGGGTAAGGCCACATCCAAGCAGAGGGATTAAGTAAAAGCTGATTCATTTCCAAGGCCACTGTCCCAGAGCCACTTCTAGGGCACAACACGGTAAAAGCAAAACGCTTCACCCAAGGGGAGTGCAAAAAGGGTGAAAATAGTGGGGTTTGGCACCCGGGGGGGATACATTCAGGAGTCCAGAGTGCAATCAGAAGAGGCAGAAGCAGTAAATAAAGTGCTGTGCCAACCTGCTGGGCTTTAATCCCTCCACAATAGGCTTCCACCACCGGGATGACTCAGATGTGGCCGTTCTGTGCTGCGGTTCCCATTGTCTCCAGGACATTACGTACAACCTGGGAACTTTGAACGCTGCTCTCACTTTCAGTTTGAGCTGCTCCCAGCCCCAAGGAGTGGCTCTGAGGCATCCCTGCAGGGCTGCAGCTGCTCAGCAGGGGAAAAAAAGGGAGCAAGAGTCAAATGGAAACGGAGAGGTAACAGGTAACAGACTTACTTAAAACCCTGTCTTATTTTTTTGCAAGGAGGATTAACCTAATAAGCAACAAAGCTGTTGGCAGGCGTTTAGGAACATTTATTATGTTCCTCTTTCCTGAGAGCTTCCCTATAAAACCTACCTGCAGCACCTACCAGGAGGAGAAACTTCCATTTCTCTCCCTTTTCCTGTACAGTTTTGATAACAAAATCCTTTTGGAATAATAGTTGGCTTCCTTTTTTAAAAAAAAACAACACATAATAATTAGCTTCCTGTATTAGCAAGGAACAAAACTTTTGCTGGAGTCATTTCCCTTTTATTCCTATGTGGATCCCTTGAGGGGATCCCTGAATGATTTTTAAGTAGCTGAAAGCACAATAACCACAAATAGACCTTTAACTGCCGGCTGTATAAAACCCAAACCCCTATCCTATAAAAAAAAAGGACGGGAGAAACTCCATGCTGTAACCTGGTTTAGAAAACTGATCTCTTTACTTACAAATATAGTATTTTGCTTTGCTTTGTCCTGTATTTATCTTTGCTCGTGATAAGCAGCGTGATATTTCACTTAAAGTGGTTTTCACCCGTAGAAATCCCTGCGATCCACCCCACTGCTGCAGCACACCAGCAGAATAACCTCTGCCCACTGCAAGATTCAAAAGCTGCTTCCTAAAATATAATTAATTTATATTAATGTTCCCATGCGTTACATTCTCATCTTTACAAACTGTCCCTGCCGTGCCAGAATCCCTCTCAATCCGTTATTTTTTCCTGCCATGCTCCAATCCCTGCTTGGATTATTGGCAACGTCAGCAATGCTGCACAATTCCCTGATAATTATTGTATTTTTTTTTAATTAAATGCCCTTCTTCCTGCCCAAAAGCCCAAAACACACACACACAGACACCACCCCAAGCAGCTTCAGAGCTCTGCACTCTGTTCAAGCAACAAAGTTTTTCTTCAGAGGCCACACACCACCTTTCATCTCTCTATTTTACAAAACACACGCTCCCTGCTGCAGATTAAGAACCATCAAGAAAAAAAACATCCGTGGAAAAATGGCACAGACCTAGAAAAGCACCCACCTCCATTAAAATTTCAATATCCAGCTGATGTAGACAATATATTCTTTCCCCTCCCTTTTTTTTTTAATATATATAATTTTGGATAGAGCTACTTTCCTCTGTTCAGCATCCCGACAAGGAAAGACGAGGGGCTGAGGGCACGGGAGCGGGGAAGAGCAGGTGGGAGAATCACTCAGGACGATGACACCGTACTCGGGAACAACGATTTCAGCGCAAGAGCCTCACCGCAACACAGGTCGGAGCTTTTTCAACCAGTTCTTGGGAGGAAAAAAAAAAATAAAATAAAAAACGCACGATCCCACTAACACGATGGAGCTGCTGTGCACGGCTCGACGGAGCGGGATTGAATTTGGCGGTGGGTCAGCCACGTGCGGGTGCGCTCTTGGCACCGGTCCTCACAGTTTCGGGGCGAGCTTTAGCAGGCACACTTCTTCTCCTCCGGTTTTGCTGAATCCAGCTTCCCCGAGCTTCCCCCGTTGGCCGTGTCGGAGCCCTGCGTCTTGTCCACGCACTGCTCCATCCGTTTCATTATCAAGTCCAGCAGCGTGTCCACGGCCTTCTCCACGTTCTGGCCGGTAGCAGCACTCGTTTCGAAGTAGGGGATGCTACGGCGAAAAGAAAAGGGTTTAGCGGAGGGGCTTTTAAGGCAAGGGAGACTGAACTCTTCATAAAACCCTTGGCACAGCTATCGGTGGTGGGTTTAAAGTTAATGACAACCGTGTGAGAGGTTTTTGGGTTGTTGGGACTCAGTTTTCCTGCTCACCAGAACCCAAACTCCAGCCACGTGTCTGAGCGAAGCCGTGCCTCCTACACGCCACGCTTCCTGCAAATCTGACTCACACCTCGGGTTGTGATCGATCTGCTGCAAATGCGGGCATTTGCCTGTTCGGAAAACGCCCCAAACCTGCGCTCCTTTTCCAGAGGTGAGCACCTACCCTGCTCCAGCACCTCCCTTCTCTCTCCGAGGGCTGCTTCCTACACAAAACCTCTGCCAAAACACAATTTGAGAAGCCCACGTAGCCAACAGACACATCGATGTCCACTACTTTAAAGTAACACCTATTTTTTTCCTGTAAAGACAACACCTGCATCACATCACCGTGATCTAGATGTTTTATTTTTTGGGTGTTTCTTGCCATTTCCTATTCAAACAGGTTGATCTGAAGGCACGACGAGCTTCACTACAGGCGTGTGATCCTGCACTGTCTGCACACCTCGGAGCATCTCTTCCTTGCAAGTGTCTCCAGCCAGCCATTAGCTGTGCTTCCAACGACTGGACCACTAAATTTGGCTTCTGCCACAACGTGCTTACCCGTATTTGTCCGCCAGATCTTTCGCTTGCCTTTCATTTACCTCCCGCTGGTCGGATAAATCCGCTTTATTACCAATTAACACGATATCTGGGTTCTCACAGTACGCATTGGCTTGCAGCTGACCTAGAAGGAAAAATCAACAGGAGAATTAAGGGAATGCTGGAAGTGCCCTAGAGACTCAGCCAGCTGACAAAACACTTCAAAAGGCCTGCAACACAGAAGAAAGTCGGGACTCAACTTGGTAAGCAGAGGAAGATTGCGATGACACCAACCTTTTAGTGGGAGGAATGAATCTCAGAAGAAGAAATTCAGCTGGTATATAAAATCTGGAGCTGTTTTCACAAAACTGTCTGGATTTTTGCGTTATCCCCACTTCAGCTCCCTGGCTGGAAAGCTACCAGCTGGAAAAGCAGCGGCCTCCATCCTTCCAGGACTCTGAATACCCTCAGTTAACAACAAACTTTAAGAATTTAACCTCTCTTTCCCTGTTAGTCAGGTGGTTGTCCTAACAAAAACCAGCTACAGCTGTAGGTAGGTTTTTTTCTGACCCTGTTAAGGGCCAGAATACATTCAGCTGTTCAATTCTCAAGTACTATCTGCTTTCAAACAAGAGCTTCAAAGACCGATTTGAATCAAAACCTCAAAGCCAGGAAGGAATCTCGTTCTGTTTTGCTAATACAAATCACACCAGTAAACTAAACAGCGTTTTCCAGGCTCCTTTGTATCATCTCAAAGGAGGAGATTGGCCAAAGAAGTGTCAAACACCAGAAATTTTCAGGAGGCGACAGATTTGTTTGGATTGTGCCAAATCCAAACGAGATTATCAAGTCTACCATGCAAAAAAATGAAATAAAATAAAATAAAGAAGAGCATGCATCTTTCACATCTGATGAAGCTTTCACCCCAAATCAAAGGGCATATCCTGCTCGAGGCAAGTCATTGTGGCCCCAAATTAAGTCCCAACAGGGTGCCAGGCTCCACAGGACCACAATCCACGTCCTACAACTCATCTCATCGCATCTCAAACCTTGATCCGGAGCAGAGGTGCTTTAGAGCACACGGGCTGTGAGTACCTCGCTTTAGACATAAAAACCTCTGAAATTTTTCCAGTTCACAAGCACATAAAGCCTGGAAGCATAAAAAATGCGCAGGGAAGCTTCAAGTCACCCAGTAAACGCAAAGTGTATGTTTCTACTTACTCATCCAATTCCTGACATTTAAGAAGCTCTGTTGACTGGTGAGATCAAACATCAGTAAAAAGCCCATAGCATCTCTGAAAAACGCTGTGGTGAGGCTTCGAAATCTGAAGGAGGAAGAAAAAAAAAGAAAAAGAGAAAAAGAGAGCACAGCTCTGTTACAAAGTGAGCTCTACGATTCGAGGTGAGCACATTTCTGGCAAAACTGAACCGGGTAAGGAGAAAAAGGTGAAGTAAATGAAAGGTTTTCCAAACCAGCTCTTAAAAAAATCCCAGTCAGAAGAGTCTGCGTGATTTAGAGGATGTACATTCCCCTTGGAAGTGGAAAAAAATAAATAATGTGATTTTCATTTTAGCTATGATACATCACGTCAGTCAACACATATTAATCAGTGTGTTAGTAACGGGCCAGGGGAAGCTTATTCGTGAGAAATAAACACTGTCGGTGACTAATGTATCGGCTCCAATTCTGTCTGATTTAACCCAGGACAGAGACGGAGAGGGAGAAGAGCTGGCCTGCAAAGCCATGGGGCTGGATGAAAGCACCGACCACAAAACTACAGCTGTTTGTCACCCAAAGGTCACAGCCAAAAATTAGCCTCAAAATGTTTAACTTTTACTACATAAATGGTGTTTGGGGGTAAGCAGGAGAGATACAACCAAAATTTGGGCTGTTTTCTGCTTTTCCCATGGCAGTAACCCCTCCCACACAGTGCTGGCACCGCTTATTTAGAAACCTGAAATCTGCCTCATCCCTACACTCGGCTTCCTCTGCTTCTTCCCTCGTCAACAGATGATAGCAGCAATCGTGCTGAGGGCAACCTCGCACACAAAACCATGAAAGAAGAGGTTTCTTCCATACCAGTCAGCATGGGTAAGGCTTGAGTTAGGACTCTCCACCCTAAATAAAGTGTCAGAAAAAGCTTCGTTCCTGGAAAATACTTTTCTTGTCCCGAATTAGGAGGATTTTTGAGATTCTTCACATAAAGGGACTAACGGTTTACCCACAAACGTGGAAAAGCTCAGACTGGACTCTCACCTTTCCTGTCCAGCGGTGTCCCAAAGCTGGAGGTGCACCTTGAAGGCTTTTCCTGGAGATCCATTTGCTCCTCTGCTATTGTACACCTAACAAGAGAGAGCAATCAGTAAACGCATGACTCTTTTGGCTCGTGGCGCCCAAAGAAAGCACCGTGACCTTTTTTCTGCTCAATTCCTCCTTGAACAAAAGCAACATGTACACGAACTGTTACAGTAAAAGACAGGAGGAAAAAAAAAAACACAAATAGGAACCATTTTTGCTCTCTGAGCTTGCTCAGCAGACTCTTAGCGACTTTAAAAGCAGGGAAATGTTGTCCCTGAATTGCCGAGAAGAACCAGCAGATCGACCACACACCACGCTTTGTGAGTTAAGTAAGTGAATAAATAAATAAAAATAAATAACTGAAGCATGCTCCTGCAATACCCAGTGCTGTAAGCAGGGAATTTCACGGGCTCAATTTTTTTAATATGACTTCTTTGCAACAGAATTGAACCTTTTGGAGCTCCTTCTTAAAAGGCCATCTTATTCAGACGGACTTTCCAGATGTTTTAAAGCTTTTAATTGCATGTAAGGCACAGTTTCGTCCATCCTTATCAGCGATCTCACCCCCAAAACGTACGCCAGTGGAAAATTACCGAAGAAATCCGCCCGCAACCCTTAGCAGAAAAGTTCAGCCCCCTGGAAGGAAGCCAGCACCCGTCTTCAAAACACGCTAACAAGCGTCTCGACGAGGCAGGGAACGAGCACTCCGGCGAGCTGCGTGTTCAGACGTCTCCTTGCAAGAAAACTGCTTTTCATATTTTCCTCTCGCTCCACCAGGGGAACCCAGCGGTGCGGTGGAGGATCCGGGTTCCCCTGGTTCCCCTCCGACCTGTGCGTCGTGCTTAACCGGTCTGAACTGCTGGAGCCCTGATTAGGGTTAATTTAAGATGTAATCCATTTTATTCCACCTCAGGCCTAATGATTAAGTCTCCAGTGCTGCTGATTTACAAGAGTTCCCTACTAATTGCCTGGTTCCCCACGGACCTGAATACACCTAGCGTGTCCCGACCACACCATAAACCCGTGGGCTCCTATGGCTCAAGCAAGGGACTGAAAAATGTGTGATTTACCCCTAAAATCCACGCAGGGCAGGGGACCAAGAAATGTATGATTTAGCCCTAAAACCCATACGGGGCCATCTCTTCAGTGGGGCTGGCACGTAGCCTTCACGATGGCACCACCGAACTCAACACCACAGCCATAAATGCTCTCAGCCATTAAAAAAAGTTATTAAAAAGGAAAAGCTGCCCGGATCTGCCCCTCTCCAGGCTGAAAAGCTCTCCACAAGCAGTGGTTTTTCTGCCCCTTTAGCATCTCGGCATTGTCAAGACTTCCAAGGACTTTTCATGCAAAATCCTTCAAGTATTTAAATTAAAAAAAAAAAATCAGACTTAAAGAGATCTCAATATGTCAACTGGGCAAGTGTTTACGTCTTTTTTATCAAATAACTAACTAAAATCATCCTCCAGGGCCTAATATCTCGTATTTATCATGGTTTTGCTCTTCAAGCAAGCCAGAACGATTCCTATTAGAAAGTTGCCTTTGTCCCCTATATTTAGCTTGTCTCTGGTATCAGGATGTAGGAGCAGATAGATTAGTCATGTGAAATTAAAACGGAGCAAGCATGCTCTCTTATTCCTGAAACGAGCCCGACTGACGCTACCGAAAGACTCTCAGCTTCTATTTAGGATGAAGAAATGAGTGCATTGCGTTAGGAGCTCCAGCAATCCTACAAGGACTGCTGATAACAGAGTCCTTGCGCTCATTTTTCAGCCTTGCTGCTGACGGGGGAGCAGGGAAGCAGCAAGCTCGTTCGCTAGGTTACTGGAAGCGAGTCGAAACTTCTGCATTTCTGAACGTTTCCACCTTTTTTATTTAAATTTTTACGTTTTGGGGCTGGAGTTATTTCTAGGCATGAGCAAGCACACCTCATTCACCAGCACTACGGAAACTCTTGGAAATAAACCACTCGCCAGTCCCACATCGGGATAAAGATAATGGTGTTTTTCTCCTTTATCCAGTCCCTAATTATGATTTTTTTAAGCCAAGAGCTAGAGCAGGAAAAGCGTTATCAACATGTTGTGTCCCACAGCAAGAGCAGCAGCTCACATCTACGTCAAATTTGTTCTCAGCAGCGACGAGGAGAGATAAAAAGGAAGCTGCTAGCGTTCAGCCGAGGCCACTTACCACTCGTTTTTCCCGAAAATCTATCCCTACTGTCGTGATGAATTTGGGATTGAATTTGTTGTCGGTGTATCTGTAGAGGAACGTGGTCTTGCCAACCCCGGAGTCTCCAAGGGCCAGGAGTTTGATCAGATAATCGTAGTCTCCATCAGTCATAGTGCTAATTTTTAGGAACCTACGGAAGAAGAAGAAGAAAAAAAAATGTTTAAAAAACCAGAATGACCCTTGATGGAAGACGACTTGCAGAGACTTGCCTTGGGTGACGAGACTTGGAGGGCTGGGGCTGATACCAGCATGAAGTTATCAGGGCTGCGCATTTTTATCTTGATAGAAACGTGGGGTTTTTAGAGAGAACTAATTAAAAAGCAGAGTAAGCAATCATCCCGGGGGCACAGGGCTCTCACACACACGGTTTTTTTCACCGGCGCGACCAGAGGCACGCACATCTGCCCCGCTCGGCGAAACCCGCCCCCTAATCAAATGCTGCCGGTACTAATTGGAGTGGAGAAGAAAGCCAACCAGATGGAAAACCCGCAGCGTGGGCTCAGCTCCGCCACAGCCGAGTTGCTTTTTTGACTGCAGGTTGATTTATTTCCCGCGGGCTGGGGGGGGTGGGGGGAAGCGTTTCGGGTTCGGCGATGTCCCGAGGAAACCACAACCAGCTCCCGGTTTCGCCACCGGGACCAGCGGAGCCTGCCTTATCGGGTACTTGCAAAACAAAACGCGTCGGGAAATCACGAGGCGAATTTCCCAGGAAGGGGAAAAAAATCTCCCTCCTCTTCGCCAGGCTGCCTCCCAGCCCAGGCAGAGCTCCCGGAGCTAAATGGATGCCACCGAAAGGATTCCCAGGAGATTTTCATGGCCCCACACCGCACGCACTGAGTTTCCCCACCTGCTGAGTCAAGCATGGTATATATGGGAGGGAAAACCCCATTATTGCACTGACTTCACCAATTTTTGCTCTGCAGAGGATGGAAAGGGGACGACGTACGCAAGAAATAGGCCTGTAAAATATTTATTCACCTGCTTGAAACGCCCCGACGAGGAGAAAGGAGGAATTATGCGAAACACCAGCTGGTTTGCATCCTCTTCGCTTGCTCTCCAGGTGATTTAAGCCTCTCGTTTTTTCCAGCGTTCTGCTAATCCTGAGCCCAGATGAACACATCCCTTCCATTCAGCTCGTTATGCCGAGATTAATTACCGCGCTGCCAGCGCGGGAGACCCTGGGTCACGCTCCATTCATAAAACCTCCTCCTCCTTTCAGCGCAAGCCCTGAATTTCCATCCGGCTAAAACCGACGTTGTCGAGCGCTTAAATTAGCAAGCAGCGACCTGTTTCGACTGAAATAGAGATCTCACAGCCCGCTTTGACTCCCCTGGATTTCAACAGCTTTCAGGAGAAAAGAGCTGGCGGCGCACCAAGCCGGTGCATTGTGCGAGCCTTCTACCTCTGACAGACACGGAGCCACCCAAAAAGGCAGGAAAAGCTCATGAGAAATCCATCTGCAAGATGACAAGGGCTTAAAGAAATCCGAGGAAAAAGCTCTCACCTGCCTGCTTTGCTCTGCCTGACCCTGCCTCTGTCCTGCGCTCCTCAGAGGTCCGAGCACCAACACAGCACCGTCACCAAAATTAATCCAAGACCTTTCATCTTTTCCCCAATATCTCAGGTTTTCCACCAGGTTAAGCCTGCTTTCTGCCCTGATGGTTAAGGATGATGAAAATCAACCTATTTCTGGTCAGCACGGGAACTTTTCTTTGGGTAATTCATTCAAAGAAACAGAAAAAAAAGGAATTTCAGAAACAGAAAAAAAGGAAATGAGTGGCAGCGCCTGATTTTAACAACGCTTCCCTGCTTTCTTGGCAGACGAGACTCCCACCTTGACCAGAAGCAGCCTCCTCTTTCGTGATTGATCATTTTCTCCCAGCCCTATTTAATGCTCTCTAACTCCGGGGCAAGAGATCGTTTCAAAGCTGGCACTTGTCAGTAGATGCTCCAGCGAGCGTTTTCTCAATAGGGAGCCAAGGCTTCAAATAAATCAGAATAAATCAGCCCAACCTGAAGGCATTTTCGTTGTAGCCTACGGGAGAGGCAAATCTACTCCTCGGACACCACTCTGCAGCTCTGCACCTGATGGGGAATTTGGAAGAAGCAAATTTTGGCTCTCACTGCACCCTTGGAGAAGCATCTCGAGCACCACGACCCTCCGGCATCTCCTACCGCGGGGACAAAAGGGTCTCCAAGCACATCTGCCAGCATATTTCAGCCTGGTATCAGCCGAAGCTGCGAATCGTATCCTGTTTTGCTTCCTGACAGCCTCACCCTTTCCTCTTTGGATTTTCCCAGTTCTTTTCTTGAAGTTTCCCAACACGCCAGAGACGGCGCGGCTGCTCCGGGCTGACCGCACGCCGCATCCTTTCTTCCATTCACTCCTAAAAAACTACAAGTACGGTGCTGAACCGAAATCTAAGCTGGTTTTGAAAGAAACATTAATTAATAAATAATGAGGGCTTTATTAATAAGGGCTAAATCCTAATCCCGCCTCAAATACCTACAGCCTGTTTGTCTTGGGGTGGGACAGGACACCCACGAGACGTCCCCTCGCTGATCAAATCCCGAGCATCCAACTCATCAGACACCGAAAGCCCCTCCAGGGAAGTCTGCAGCATCTTTTGCAAGGCTCCTTTGACAAAAGCCAGCCCTGGCAACCACACGCGTGACTCTCGGGCTGGTTTTTGCCAGATCTCCGCTTAAATTCGGGAGCCCTGATAAGCTGGTGGAGACTCCAAACCTGCTGATTGCGTCTTTAACCCCAGAACCCATCCCCAAATCAAACCCATCCTCTTTACAGAAACTTCTGAAATGGAGGAAAATAAAAAGCTTTGCTTTTCATCCTCCTAATTTTAATATAGATCTATTTTTTTAATAAAACCTTCTAATTTTTCATCTTCTAGGGATGCATCCCCATCCCCGGAGGTTATAAAACACGACTGAGATATTCAGCCAGCCCTGCCCGGCACAGGAGCAGGGATTTTTTTGGATAACTGGAAATGAATGGGTTTCATTCCCTGTTGCTGAGGACGGGCTCGGGAAGCTCCTGATGCTCTGAGAGCTCATTTAAACAAGCCATAATCTTCCGGGGAGCGCTGAAGCGATCTGATTATTACACCAAAGCTTTGGGAATTCAAGGCTGTGGTGCTGCCCCGACCCAAAACGCTGCCACGAGCGAGGTTAGCAGGGGGTTTTATCACCCTCCCCTATGGGAATCCGCAGGTTTTAAAGAGTTAAAAGGAAACAGAGATTCCCCAAGCACCTTTTCCGCTACGATATTTGAAGATTACATCGGCCAGGCTCGATCAGCCACTGCAGAGAGTTCCTCGGTGCCTGATAAGCCCGCTGCGTTTTAGATCACCGAAGCTGTTTCCACGCTGCATTTTGTAGGGCTGCACTGCTGAGAGCAGAGAGACTCAAATCCAATCCTGCCCTGCTCTGCTCCGCAACAGGCATTGCCTCACCGTGCCGGGTTTCAACACACGGCGTGCGAAACGTGGATTTTCTGGGATCTTCCAGGACACCTTCGCTCGCAGGAAAATCGGCTCCGAGGTTGGAGGCTGCAATGCGTGAGCAGGGAGGAGAAACAACATCCAGCAGCCTGCAGAAAAAGCAGCCGCACAGCTTGCTCGAGTGCAAATCTGGACTTTTGGCCGGCTGGACTCGTGGGTATCTCGGTAAGCAGCACCCAACTGCGTTTCGTGGCACCTTCCCAAGGGAAATATATTTTTCCAGGTGTTATCAGGCCACTTGCTGAAGTGCATTTCAGCACTGACTGGGCTGTGCGAGCCGTGGCAATTCCTAGGCACGCTTTAAGGGAGCCCTCCTGCCCCGTGGTGCTGTTCCTCCCGAGGCACCAACCAGCCCCGTGCCGTGAGAGCCGTCGCTTTCCTCTGCAGCTCTCCAAACCTCCCCGGCACCAGCTTTGGGCTCAGCTTTCCAACGCCGCCTTCCTGCGCATTTCCAACCCCGTCCTGAGCACTTCACAGACCACCGAGACCCACCAGGTTTGTTGAGGAGGGTTTCTCGGTGTTCCTCCTGTGCTGGATTAAGGGCCGGGACGCAGAGGCACGCTCGCTTTCACCGCAGGGGATTCGCACGCCTCCAGCTCTTGGCCTTCCCCCCCCCTATAGCCTGCAAGCGTGCGATCCCTTTCACCTCCAGCACTCTCCTCCACCCCCAACCCGTATCTTAGGCTTACTTTAAGGGCTGTTTACCCAGAGTTTGGAGGAGACGAGCGATTTCCCTGCTGCTCCCACAACCACTCTGGGTGAACCCCGCAGGAGCCGGGCTCCCAAACCCATGGGTTACCCCTTTGGGGTGTACCAAGACCCCGGTACCCGTGAGCCAGGCAGGTTTCCAACCACCAAGGCTATTCCGTGCGTGCCTGCACAGATCTTTTTCTATGCTTCACCTCCTATTTTTATGCCCTCATCCCCGCAGCACGGCGGTGGAGGTGCGGGCACCGGCAGCCACGCAGGAGCTATTTGGGGGCAACGTGGGGCACGAGGGCGCGACGAAGCCGCTGCGGGCACCCCAAAAAGCATGAAGCGAGGGGAGAAACCCCCAGATGCTGGCGGGGACAAACCCCTAGGTGCTGGCGGGTGGGCATCTCACGGACCCTGGGGGGGGTGTGGGAGCCCTCAGCCCCCCACCAGGGACAGGGATGGGGTCCGGGACCGGGTTTGGGACCACCCCCCCATCCCCATCTCCATCCCCATCCCCATGGCGCAGCGCAAGGCCGTGCCGGCGGCCGCCCGGGCTCCATCTCAGCTCCCCAACCGCGATGTCGGGAACCCAAAACGAGGACACGAGGACCCGGGGGGGGTCCCGGTGCTGCCCAGCCGCCCCCCGACCCGCTCCCCCCCCCCCCCCCCCCCTCCGGCACCGACCTGCTGCAGGGAGCGGCTCGCCGCCTGCGCTGCTTCCTGCTGGCGGCGGCGGAGGGGCCGGGCGCCGAGCGCCTCCCTCTGCGGGGCTGGAGCCGGGGAGGCGCTGCCGGGGCCTCCCCCGAGCTTTAGGGCTCAGCCCCGGCCGGCCCCACTCGCCCGGGGGCTCGGGAGGGGGTTTTCTCCTCGCCCCCGTGCGCCCCGGTTGCGCGCTCCGGCGCAGAGCGCCGGGCACCGCTCGGTGCCTCGCTGCTCATCCCCCCTCTGAGCCCTGATTGAGAAAATTAAAGGGCTTCACCCCACCCCCTCGGGCTTTATTCCCTGCCCCTATTCCCCAAAACCTGCTGCTCAGGCTGTGCTTCCAGCCCCGAGCTGCGGGAGCCCATCGGGTGCCAACCCCATCGCCCCACGCTCCTAAGAAACGGTGCTTGGGAACTCGAGTGCTGCTCCTTCCGAGGCATTTTCACGCAGCAAGGATAAAAATAAATAATTTCAGCGAGCTGACAGCCAAACAGCAGGGTTACCATCAGCCCTGCTGCAGGGTTGGGGCTACTGGCGCATGGCAAGGCCCCAAGGGGTTTCCTTGGGGCTGGACACCCGCCTGCCCCTAAAACACCGGTGCCCACTACGAGCATATTTTAGCTCTCAAATATAAGGAAAAAAGCCTTAAAACCAGAAACACAACAGGTGGGAGAGGCAAACAGGTCTCCCAGCCGGGCTCATCAGCTTCGCAGCACAGCCACCAGCGATGCTCCTGGTGCCCATCCCAATAATCCACAGCCTGGGTGCTGCCCCCATGGGCAGAGCCACACAGGAGCTCCCCCAGGAGGAAAATCCCCCTTTAAAACCCTGGCAGGGCTGAGATAAATCTTGTTCCAGGGAGGTAGGGGATTTCTGCAGGGTTCAACGTCCTCCAGAAGCGGTGGTGCTGCTCTTCGGAAGGGCACGTGCTGTGATACAGACCAAAAAATTCTTGGGAACTGGAATTTGAGGTTCTCATCCTGCTCAGATGCATAGGGATGCTCCGCCGTTATCTTCCTATTCTGAATTTTTATCTTTTCAGAGGTTGTTGGAGAACCTGGGTGGCTGCCTGTAACCTTTTGTGATGCCACGAGGATGTTCCAGCTGCACCCTGGACCAGTTTCCAGCACTCGCAGCCGCTCCCAAATCTCTTTAAATGGTTGCTGCCATTTGCTGGGATTTGCAACCGGCAACGTTTCCAAAATAGCGCTGTGAGTACCAAGAAAAAAAAAGAGGTTTTCTGAGCAGCTTTGTTCTTTGGGCTCGATAGCTAACAAATAACCCATCTCACCGATGGCACGGACAGAAAGTGCTGGCGAGCACTTTCTCAAGGCCTCGCATCGCCCCCACGCCTGGCCTGCGATCAGCGGCAGCTCGCTTTATGTCACTGGAAACATTTTGCTGTGACAGGAGGTTTCGGACAGAAGCATTTCACCAAAACACTAAATATTTCTAAATAGGTTTTCTATTCAACTCTCCCAGGCTGCTAAATGGCAAGCCAAAGGATTTTTGGTCGCGTTTCTCTTGGGTTCCTGAAATTAAAGGCGTCTTACTCAGTAACCTCAGCTTCCTGCTGGTTCTTCTAACAATTAAAACTCAGCACGGCTCGCAAGGACAGGAAACGTGCCTCGATTCTGCTCTTCCTAGATAGAGAAATGTCATGTGAAACAGCAGCTTTGAGATCATCGAATAAACCCAACCAAATTAATACCGAAGCGGTGGCATTTCCCGAATCACCCTCTTCTGAAAGAGGGCTGGGGCTCCTTTGGAAACAGCAGCAGGATGTGGTCTGGAGGCTCGCCGTGACAAGCGTGTTTGCCTTCGCTGCTGTATTACACCACAAAGAAAGCAAATATTTTAGCTCACCTGTTCTCCCTGTGCCCACGGAGGGAACGAGCAGCAGCCCTGCATAGCCTCCGTGTGCTCCAGGAATAAGGAAAAGGCTGCAGCCAACTCTCTCTCTCTCTCTTTCTCCCCCGATTTTTTCTTTAATTATCCCACAAAGTTATTACTCATTCAAATCTTTTCTTTCAGGCCTGCACTGCTTTGGGAAAAAAAATAAATGTAATAAAATCATTTTAACTAACAAAACCGGTGCATGCCTTGAAGTAGGGCTGTCTGAAACCAGTTCTTGCGGCTCAGCTGTGGTTTTTCACAGAGTAGCAGCAGCATTTTTCCTTTTGCTAATGCAAGCTCCGTTCGGGTACACTCGACCTAATTAAGCTGCTACGAGCTTCTCACGCCAATGCCCTCAGCCTGCTTTATCCTCGCTCAGCCCCCTCGCATGGGGCTGTAAGGACGGAGGCCCTGGGACACCAGAGGTGCCCTGTCCGTTTTTAAAACGCCTTTTTAATTACAACGGGGAACCGAGATACACGACCGAGGCGAATCTGGAGCAAGGAGTTGACTTACCAACACAAAGGCACCAAGTTAATTAGATAAGGCACACACTACAGATTTATTTAATGACTAAGTCCTGCATATCCTGCTTCCTCCCCCATCGCCCTGCCACCCACATCCCCTCCCGGTCCCCGCCTCTGACTCCTCCAAGCCCCTCTGAACTCGAGTATTTTACCCTAACCACACATTTAATCCCCTAGATCCACTTGCTGAAAGTATAAATCAGCAGGATATGCTCCTATTTTCCGTCCCCTGAATACGTGGCCAGGGATTAATTAGTTCAGAGTAAGAGGAAAGAGCAAGGCTGGTCAGAAATCCCCTTCTGCTTGAAGTGCTGTTAGAAAGAAAAGTCCTAAGCATTTTATTTTTTTTTTTATTATTAATGTATATTTTTTTGCTACAAAGGTTTTGGATTAAGATTCATTTTTCACCTAGAAAGTCGCCCCATATTTTTTTCAGACCCAGAACATTTTTATTTTCCCATAGCATTATTAAGGCCAGCAGGTGAACACTTGGATTTCTGCCAACCTGCAACGGACTCAATCTGCATCACTTTTTGTTTTTTTAAAAAATCAGATCTTTAACTTTAAAATGCATGCATTAATTCCCCATGTATTATCCCCATATATTCTAAATATATATTTTAAATATATTCACGTTTCATTTAGAAACAAGCCAAGATCACTTTGATGTTGCAAACACCGGGTATCAGCACCTAAATAATTCTAAATCTGCACTGATGCATTGGTGCTGAGAAAAGCCATAAAATAACACAGCTTGTGCTGGATTTCCTAAAGCCTTGGACCCAAATTTCACCTTCCACTTGCTGCAGAAGCAGCAATTGCTACGTGCTGACCGCTCTGAGGTGCCTCGTGCTCCTTTCCAGTACCCGGGGCGGTTGAGATAAGGGAAAAAGGCTCTGAGCTGGACAGAACTGCCTCGTTATCATTATCATTAACTCCGTTTGCACTGATTTATAACCGCTGTATGATCGTACACTATCACATACAAACTTTCTTCGCACCGAAGGCTCCCCTCCCCTCGTTACATGCAGCGCGGAGAGGGCTGGAGAGCTCCGAATTAAATTAATCTCTAAAAAAAACCCAGCAGCTGAGTGCTGCTTAATGCACTGAGCAAATCTAATTTGCCAGGCGCTGCAAAATAGTGCAGAGTGCTGAGAAAGAGGAGTGAAAGCTTTTTTTTTTGGGTGTAAAAAACCAATTCCCTCCATCCTGCAAATATCGCTGGTGTTCCCTCTGCGTCGCCGCACGGAGCACGCGGAGGCTCGTAGCCCACAGCGAGAGCAGCAGGCACCTCTACCTATGCTGCTGCCTCGTGAAATCCATTTTCTAACCCTTCAGCAGCTGTCCCAACCTTTTATTAGTGGTTATTTCCCCTCGCTCTGTTCTTTTCTTTCTGTTTTCTACCTGCAGGTTTCGTGCCCCTGCGTTCACGCTGCCAGCGCCTGGAGCGCAAACAGCATTCAAGGCTCGTGGCACAGCCCAAGCCTCCTCTGTGAGGACTTTCAGCTGCAGACACACAATTTTTTTTCTCATTTCTGATGTCCTCAGATCAGCACGTGCTGGTTTTTAACCCGTAGACACTTCTTTTTGTCGCTCCTCTGCTTAGGGGATCTAATTCTCAGCGTTGTGCTGTATGCGTGCTTCAAACCCCTTTCGAAGGGACCACACCAGTGAGGAGCTCCTCTGTAATTTTTGGGGGTATTCTTTGGGATTTGGGAAAATTTTATGACTTGGCACCTCAGCCTCAAGGTGATCAGACTTTTCTGCATCCTACATCCTCAGTGCAGCTCTGCGCTGGTTTTCCATCTGCAAATTCGGTGAAGGTTTCAGGGAGCTAATGCACGGCGCTGGGATGTGATTTGGGCTTCCTCACCGCAAATCAGCCTAAATAACAGCCTACATATTACCATCATACAGTTACATGCTACTAATATTAAAATCATCTTGTCTAAACCGGGGGTAATAGGGCGAGGATGCAAACAGGGCTGGGTGTTTGCATCCAGGAGAATACAGGAGCTAATTAAATTAAAGGCTGTGTAATAGGGAACCTACATAATAGCGCTGTCTAAACGAAGAAGTGATCGTCTCAAACCAAGTTTTCCAGTTCCACCGCCCGGCCCCGTTGCTATTCATCTGCTTCCAGGTGCTGGAGATGAAAGTCGGCTTTGTTTCGGTGTTCAGCAGGTCGCCTGTAGCCTGCTGAACCATCTGAATTATTTTTAAGTGTCGTAGTTGTGAGAACGAGGGATTGAACTGCACCGAAACGCAACAGGTTTCACGCCGTCTCGGCCTTACCGACGCTTTCCCAGGGATCTGCTCCTCCTCGTTCCCATGAAAAAACAGGGATGTGCTTCGGGTTTTGCATTCGGGGCTCCTCCTCGTACCCTAAACTTGGCAGTTTGTGCACAATTATGGGCTGTTTCCAGCACAATTGTCTTATTTTACCTGTTTTTACGCACGCACACCCAAATAACTTCACAGCCCCAGCACGAAGAGCAGCCTGATGGCACGATGGTGCTGACCCCAAAGCAGGTGACTTCTAAAAGACCTCGATTTGCAGCCCAGCTGTAAACGGAGGAGCCTTTCATTGGCACGGAGGAAACGAAGAGCAGTTCAGCACGCAGCAAAAAGCCAGATGCGACAGCCTGAGCAGCAGAAAACTCGGTGATTGATCTCCAAACCAAAGGCGCATTCGTTATCCAGAAATATAAGCATCTGTTTGCAGCATAAGTAATTCCTCCCTCCCACCCGAGTGCCAAGCGGGTGCCCACGGAGCAGGATGGATGGCCCCAGACAGATCCCTTTATTGCTTTCCCCCAGTTTCTGTCTGGGAAGCGCTGGGGAGGAAGTTATTAGGGAAAAAGCGCTTGAAAACAGAGCCCGATCGGAGCAATCCCGTAAGATAAATGAGCATTTCGCTACCATTTCGCTTTCTGACACGCAGTGTGTCTGCCTACGTTACCCCAGACAATCATTTTACCCATCCGACCCCCTCTTATCAATTTGCCAGGATGAGAAAAGTTTATTTGCCGTCTGTCATCCCGCTCACTTCTCCCACGGGAACCCAAACCGGGGCCAAGGTCCCCGTTGTAGGGCTCCCCCCACTCTGCTGCAGTGGGAAATGGGTGAAAAAAACCATATGGGCACAGGTAAAGGGTGGTGGAGCCATACCCAAAGGTTCCCATTCATCAATAAGGCCCTGGGGATGGTCCTTCCCATCCTCGGTATGGGAACAGAGCCCGGGAGAGCTCCATAACCAGCACTGAGCACTTCTAAAAATCCTCTGCTTCGGCACGGGGAGGTGACCGAGGGGCTTTTCAGTGGTGGTCTGCTCCCGGGTCAGATGGAATTAGTAAAATAACCGCTATTAACGGAGCCACGCTGCAAAACCGTGCGTAAAACCCCAGGCTTTTGGGGGAAAATGTTGCCTTAGCAACAAATTACCAGCCTGCTCGCGCCCAGGAGGAGGCTGCTGCTGTGTTTACAGGCAGGTTACCCTCGCTGGGCCACAAACACCGAGCCTGAGCTCCCCCAAAATGCATACCCCAATTATTTTGGCCACCACGCACAGCTTGGCGTGACCCCAGCCCCCTGCAGGAGGCTCTGGTGATGGTGACCGGTCCCAGATCAGCCTGAAAAAGGGGCGCAGAGTCCCCAAGATATCTAGGAACCAGGGCTGCATTTCCCAGGCACGTTTTGAAACTTGGTTAAGTGCCAAATCCCAGGGGTTGTGCTATGATAAAAGGCTCCGTAATGATAAATTTAGTGATGATGGTCTGAGAAAGAGGGGTTTCAGAACGGTCTCCCCCATTTCTTCATTTTAATTAAGTTCAAACACTACTAAAAAGCAACCTCGTGGAGATCCACCCGCACTGAATTTGGTGGTTTGAGTTCCAAATAAACCCAGTCGTCCTCCTCGACTGACTTTAATTCCTCTGAATTAATGAGCTTTATCCATTTTTAGCCCTTACAGCGGAGTTTTGTCCCCAAACGAGCGGTTTCCTGAGTAACGTTTACATTCATGAACGTAACTCACAGATGGGCATCAAACAAAACGCATTAAACCCCCAAAAAACACCCGACAGCCTCATCATGCTTGCTGATAGTGAGGATTTACCTGCTTATTAAATGGTTTCTTATCAAATTATTGGCACCGCAGCAGCATCGCAGAAGGGTTTGGGGCAGAAGGGACCCTAAAGCCCACCCAGGTCCAACCCCATCCCGCCAGAGCGGGTTCCCAAACCCCATCCAGCCTCTGCCCCATCTTCTATTGCCCCCTGCTGGGTATCTCTGTGCTCGTAGGGCTGAGGCTGGTTCAATATCCAGAGACATTTTAAGGAAAAAAAGCCTGGTTCCTCACGCTCGAGTGACTTCAGGATCTGGGACTTCAAGTAACTTCAGAGATCCGTGCCAAAATCCGGATTTGGGATCACATTTGATGGGGAGAGATGTGCAAACAGACCCAAAGGGCACGCTCCTCCAAAGATCCCTGTCAAAAGGTCCCCAGCACCCCTCAGCCCGCCACCCTATTTCCCCAAACACCCATTCCTCTGTGTCTCATGAAGCAGAGCATCTCCTACGTAAGAAAACCCCATTTAAAATCACCTTCCACAGGGCAGAACAGAAGCACGGGTTAAACACCGTGCGGCGATGAATCGATTTTTTTCCCCCCTCAGATGAGAAACTTCATATTAATCCGAGCTGATCAAATCATATCAAAGCATTCCTTCAGGAAGCAAAACACGCTTCGCAGAGATGCGGCTGAAGCTCAGATTTTCTGCCGCCTTCTGCTGTTTTTCCAAGCTCTGAGCAATAATTTATTGTGACTATATAAAACAGCGAAGCCAGCTCACGCAGCATCACCCCGTTCCTAAGCTCTCACGTCTCCCAGCATGGTTGGGACCATGTAGGGCTCAGCCCTGCTGCATGGGGCTGCTGCCAGAGCTCAGCAGGGACCAGATGTGGGTCCCTGCAGCTCCTCGATAGCCCCCTGCGCTCGGCCACCAGCCCGCTGGCACAGCTTGCCACTCACCTGCGGCTCGCCAGCAGCTTCGGAGCCCTCCTGGCATCCATCCCGAGGCACCGCCTTCCTCTTCAGCACCAAGATCCCCCTCTAGCCCTCTACATCATGATTAAATAGTCCTGATTTATAGCCAAACACCTTTACCCAGTAAATCAGGGGGCTACATCGCAGCGTGCCCTCCCAAACTGCCCTCCTTTCCCCGTGCCGAGGCTGACAGCATCACCCAGCCAAAGGATCCCTTTAATTAGCCCCTGCACAAGGACGAGGACAGGCACGTGACATCTCTTAGGGACTTTCTGACATTTCTTGAGGATTAGCAGCGCCTTAATTATTTAACGCCTGCCATTTACTCCCTGCCCTACATCGCCCTGAGTCAATTAAAACACAGCAAAATGCCAGCAAGGGCATTTCAAACCGCTCCTGCGTGTCGGGTCCCAAAGGATGATCACAGTAAAGCTTCCAGAGGCAACCAAGGGCACATACCCAAGGCCATGCCTGGCCACA